CTCTGTTAGGTTGTCGCCCGCGGGGACAACTTCAGGAGAGGCTGAATCTCTGAAGGACCCAAGCGAAGGGGCCGTTTGTGACTTCTGCGCCTAGGACTACCGCCAACGCTTCCCACCCCAACCCCACCTCCCCCTACCCGCACACCACATGGATACTCATCAGACGATTTTTACCTTTTCTAAAAAATGTTTATTTATTTTTGAGAGAGACACAGGCAGAGCGCGAGCGGGGGAGGGGCAGAGAGAGAGGGAGACACAGAATCCGGGGCGGGCTCCAGGCTCCGAGCCGTCAGCACAGAGCCCGACGAGGGGCTCGAACCCACGGACCGCGAGATCATGACCTGAGCCGAAGTCGGACGCTTGACCGACGGAGCCACCCAGGCGCCCGACATCGAGCATTTCTGATGAAGAAGGTGCAAATGAGAGCAAATGAAGCAAAAACGGCTCGGAAACGAAGGGAGGTCTTTATGGCGTGCTCGCTATATGCCAGGCCCTGTGCTAAGCGTTTACGCGCTTTATCTCATTGTGTCCATTCTCCAGACGAGGAAACAGGGTTAAGGAGGTTGCCCTTGGTTCTGCTACCACACAGTGTGAGGGATCTGAACCCGCATCCACCTGGTTGCAGAGCTTTGCTCCTTCTTGCTTGTCCGGCTCAAACTGGGCACAGCAACAACCTAGAAAAGTTAAGAGGCTGGGGAAGCGTGCGGCCCAGTGCAGGGGCATAGAAATTATATTAAAGAAGTGCCAGAAGGCCGACGAGGCGGCTAAAAGTAACATTTGCAGGCCATGCCACGGGCGGAACCATAGCAACGAGGTTCTTTAATGCCACGAAGCCTCACTGATCACTGCAAATTAGGGACCAAGGATCTGCTTTCCGGGATTCTTTTTCGGCTTCATACTGTCCGGACTGCAGACTTTCCCGATACCTCTGGTGCCCACAGGCCCCCTTCTCCATTTTCCTTATACCTAATGTAACCACTCTCTCCCTTCCCTGGATTTCCTGGTACTAACTGGCCCCTCTCTGCTACCAGTTCATCACTGGGTCCACATCACAGCCCTGATTCGCGTGCACAGGAGGAAATCCAGACTCTTCAGCGTCGCGGCTAACACCTGCCTGGCCCCGCTCCGGGCAATCTGCAGGCTCTCTGTCCCTGAGAAGGACTGGCCCTCCCTCCTTGGCTTATGCTGGGTTGCCTGGGAGATGGGCCCGGAGATAGAGACCAATGTACAGCAGGTTGAATGGAGGGGACAGCACCTGTGAGGGGGTGAGGGCAGCAGGATGGGGCAGAGAAATCGAACTACCATGCCGTTGCGACAGAAGCTTCCGCCAACCCCATGGAAAGTTCTGGAGCGACGATGGCCTTTCAGGGATGTCCCAGACTGAGGCAAGAGGGGGAACCCTTGTATCCTTCCTCCCATACGCCAGTCGTTGAATACAAGTTGGCCCCCAGGGAGGGGGGCGCTACCTTGGGTAAGGCAGCTCAGCGCCCACGAGCTAAGGGCGATTCTGAGGGGGCGGCCCCGTCTCTTAAAGGGGGGATCTGGGTGGTGCGCCACGACACCCACTACCCCATCCAACAAAACTCCTGTTCGCCCTTTGATTGGCCGCTCCAGCCCGATCCATCCTTCCCAGACTCCTAAGCGCTACCCGGGCACCTGGGACTCACCCCTATTTCAGTATCGACGGCCCCGCTCCAGAAACGTCAGATAGCGCCTTAGCCTCCCTCTCCACACAGTGAGAAGTAAGGATCGCCTTTACCGCCCGAGCCCAGAGCACCGTTCCTGGCACACGGAAGTCCCTCCCTAAGCGCTGAGTAGATGGATGTCGCCTGAGAGGTGCCGGCAGGCCCATGGGAATGTTCCAGCTTCCACGATTTCCACTCTGTCAGTGCCTCAGAGTGTCTACGTGGCTTATGCCGATGACAGGCAGGCACAGAGAAAGCTTGCTTCCACAGCCAACCTGGCAACCCCTCTTGGGCTCAGGCCAAGAAAGTCCTGTCCTTGTTCCCTTCCCTGTCCAGCGTTCTGCAGCGAAGAGGGCCAAGTGCATTTAGAGACCTCCGTGCCAGGGAAAGCCCAATGCCACTGCCAACAGCGCTACATCGCCGTTCTTCTGAAGGAAATTACTATTGATCCCACAGCTCTCCTCCCCATGCTGTTTGCCGGGGACAGCCAAGGATTCCCGTGCCAGCTGGGCTCCCACACGGCTCGACTGTTCCTGCACCAGATGGCCAGACCAACACCCTCTGGCTGCCGCACGCCCCCGGGAGACTAGGCTCTGACGTCTATCCGCCTGGCTTTTTATGCGCGGAGGACGGCGGGGTCGGAGATTACGGGGCCAACCGCATTACAATAAAAATCTCTGCGCAACGAAAAGATTTCCAAATCCCGGGCGTTATCGATGTACCCAACGAGGCAGGAACGCTCTTTCCGCAGCTCTCACTTTCACCGCTCGTTGAACAGATATGATTGCATGCCTCCTCGGCCAGAAGGAGGCAGCGGCAAACAAGACAGCCCCTGCCCTCAAGGAAGTTACAGTCTAGTGGGGTAAAAGTAGGGTGACTCACTCAATCACCGGCTGTGCGAGCCAGGACACTTTTGGCAACATAAAGGGGTCCAACCGATGGCTAACCAGGGCAGCGGGCAGAAACCAGGACCGGTCCCAGGCAAACGGGGGCACTTGGTCATCCGAGACATACACACCACACGACCAAAATGGGGGAGTTCGGATAAGGGGGGGGGGTGGTGTTAGGTTGTGCCACAAGGTGGCGCAATTGAAATACTCGTAACCTCCCTTTGTTTTTGTTTTCTATCTTGATGAAAACTAATTTTTCTTCCCATAGCCACAGAGCAAATAGAACCCTTCCATGGGGGCGCTGGAGCCGGAGAGTGCTGGTTCTCAGAGAGCCAATCACTAAATTTGCGAGAGCTTAGTAAGCCAATGGTGGAGGACGCCATTAACACAAATTAAAATAATGTAAGTTTCATTTAAATGTAAACGACTCAAAACTTAAAATTGAATAAACCACGTTGAAAACAATGGTAGGAAACACTCAAAACTCACGCTTTCCTAATGACTTCGCTACAGTCACAACTGCCTACGTTTCTGACGTTAATCTGTCCTATGGTGGGGTGGAAATGCTATTTAATGGTGTGCTATTGCACACCTCTTCCCAACTCCACGGTCAGAGCCATTGCATGAGTGTCTTGAGACTGGCCTTGGTGAGTATCTACCTCGTGGAAATCAACAGACGCTAAAAATCAGGGCTTTGGGCAAGGAGGCTGGGGCAGCCAGTTGTCACCCATCTACCGGCACAGTGCTGAAACCAGCACTTAAAGCTTCATAATCCACGTGGCCAATTTTCATGTACTTTGGGCAATTCTATCACATTCCTCAAAATTACAATGTCTTCCCAACCCAAGAAAACAGACAGAAAGTTGGACGGCAAAGGGGTCCTGTTCCTCCCATAACCTCGTCCGGACACTCGGGAAGGGGGAGCCCACAACAGATAAGCCAGTTTCGGTGCTAAATGCCGGGGCGGTGGTGAGTCGGGGGGGTCCACAGCCAGGCTCTGGACTGCTGTGGAAAGCCCACCCCCACGTAACTGACACCTAACACTGGCGTAGTCAGATTGGCCGGTGGGGATCTCAAGATCTCCTCTCTGGGATTGGCGCGATGGCTTGGGGACCGCCCAGGGCACCACCCCTGCTGTCTGTGGGCACGCTCAACAAGAGGGTTAATTGGACAGAGTTTAGCAAAGGGACTATTTACAGAGGTGTGGGCAGACGGCAGAAACCACGAGGGATAGGGAAGTGCCCCGGGACAAGTGACCGTCGTAGGATGCTACCAGGCCCTGGGCTGCAGGGGGCAAGAGCTCGGGCTGTTTGCAGAGCGGAAGACAGCTATACGGGAGGGCTGCGGTGGGCACAGGAACACCACCAAACTGCAGCCCAGCTGGGGAAATAAATCCCCCTACCTCTAGACTCTTGCCAGCCAGATTGCCTGCTGGGTGCATCTCACTGCCCAAACCCGACCAGAAGCCGGTGGCCCAGACTCCCCGAGGGATCCAGTCTGTGAGGGTCCGCCTCCTGGAATCCACAGAACAAACCGCCTAGAGGGAGACGGGTGGCGGCCCGGCAGACCTATGCCAAAGAGCCAAAGGAGAGCTGTCCCAAAGCATCCCTTTGACCCACGCTTCACGTACGGATATATCTTAGCTACGCATACGTCCATAAGTAAGCCTCTGCACAGGGGTGGGGTTTACCCCTCATGCTAATAAAGCCTATTGTTCAGGACCCTTCACCTGCACAGACCCTTCCCAAGGCCCTGGCAGGGCCCTAAGCAGTTAGGTCCCAAAACTCATCTATAGATTTGAGGCCCCCAAACTTGGATCTGACCCTGCCAGTGTGACAGGAAAGGGACTGGGCTGGTGACTGCGGTTTCTCCCTCGTGGGGAAAGCCCATGCAGAGGGTCCACGTGGGGAGAAGTGGGGCCACGGGATGGGGGACTGTATTGCCTCCCCATCTTGTGGAGAAAGAGGGGTTTCTGGGCCACTACCTAGAAAGCAGGACCTAGGGGAGAAAGCTGCACCGCCCCCCTCCCCGCCCCCCACCACTTCTCTCCAAGAAGCATTTCCCCAAATTCCCTTCACCCGGTTCTGGAAGAGGGTTAATAGACACGGGGGACAGGCAGAGGCCTTTTGTGGCCACTCTGGAAAAGACTGGCACCCGCCCACCCCCCACACACCCAAGATTCAGTTAGCACAGTAAAGGCTCCAGAGAAAGAAAACGTTTGGCTTTGTTTACCGTGGGGGTTGCCCTAACTTCCTGGAGCTTAGGATGGGTAGAAGTTAGATAAGCGTGTTTGAGGCGGAGGGCGTGGAGAACCGGAAGGAAGAAGCCTTGGTGGCGAAGCAGGCAGGGGTGGGCCCCGGGGGAGGTGGCTCAAGCAGGCCTCCGGTCCTCGGGGGCCCCCCCCCCCGCCCCCGCGACGAGGCACTCAGAGCCAGCACCCCCGATCCCAGGCAGCTGTTCCAGTCCTCCAGAGGCTCGGCTCGCTACCCCTTGTAACGTTCTGTCCGTAGCCCATGTTTGGGGCGGGGGGGGGGGGGGGGGGGGGGGGGGGGGGGGGGGGGGGGGGGGGCAGGAGTGGACGCAGATCTCGGGAGGAGCACATTCCCATGTCTCTCCCCTGTGGTCTCTGGCTCTCCTCCCCCCGGAACCTCGGGAGACCCACAGTGCTCGGTGGCCCCCTGGAAGTGGACTGCCCAGGAACGGAGGAAGGTCTGGAGATACTCCCGCCCCCCTTATGACCAAAGGCACTGTCCCCATGGGGCTGCAGCCTGGCACCATCGAGTGAAATTTGGCTCCAGAAAGAAAAGAATCTATGGGGGGGGGGGAGCGCCGGGTGCTGGCCTCGGTCCCGGGAGCCCTCGGAGCTGCCAGTGACGGAGAAGTGACAGTTGGCAGACTTTTCTTCTTTACAAAGGTCGGGGGATGAACAGAGGTGGCCCTGGAGCGGCCGGCAGGACATCGGACCTTCCCAACGCGTCCCTCCCTGCCACTCTCTTCATCGTCGAGGGCCCGTCCTTTCTCCCCAGCAAAGAGCATCTGCGGGTTGCATCTCCCAGGCCAGAGCGCAGAGGAGGCTTTGCTCTCCAGCCTCAAATTACCACTCTCCTTATGTCAAATATGACACATTCTCCAAGCTAATGACCTCTGCCCCCTCCTTAATAAAACAACCCTCCACTTTCCTTGAGCAGGCAAAGGCCCTAGCAGTCCCTTTGTTTGCCAATGATGCCTCTTCCCCCGGATTCCCGTCCTTTCAGTATGATTTCTGTCTGTGTCTCTAACAGAGCAGGGCCTCCCAGCCTCCTGGCTCACCTTGGCCCCAGGCGGAAGCCAGTCTGGGGAGTCTTTGATTCAATGTACGGATCTGCAGCGGTCGGCATTCGGTTCTCAGACTCATGCTCAGAGTGGCCATTCAGCAAGAGTTCTGGGTCAGAGAACAGTCTGGTCCTGGGACTGACTTTCCAAGAGCAGCCCGGTAAGCTGGCGGGCAGAGCCAGCCTTTCTGGCAACAGGGGCCCTGGGCAGAGATGCGCCCGGCCTTACCCCGGAGCAACTGGAACTGTGGCAGTTTGGGCCCTCCAGGGAGCAGACACTGAGATGGAACTAGAAGTTCAAGAGATTTACTGGGGGGGGGGAAATGCCTGTGAAGGATAAAGTGGGGAGGGACAGGAATAGGAGGGGAGACCGCGATGCAAGTCTGACCCCTGAGAAAGGAGAGGGAAGGAAGGAGGCTGGGTGGGAAGGGCCGCCGATATAGTGAAACTCTGGAAGAGTCTCTGGCAGGCTGACGTGGAGCCCCAGAGCAAAGACGGCCCATCGGAGGGGTCCTGCGTCAGGCAGAATGGCCCAGCTCTGGGCACACCCACACCCCCTGCCACCGGCCGCCCCGTCCCCGTCGTGCTGTCATTGGGCGGGAACAGCCTGGACAAAGTGTGGCCTCAGCAGGACTGCTGCGGCAGATCCCAAAGGGAAAATGCAACAGCTGGGGGCCGTCAGCTAACAGACACTCCTTCCAGAACATTCTTCACTGAAGGGAAGCCTGGGCGGTGCCCTCCCATGGCTGCCACCATCCTTTTGTGCAAGAGAATGGACCAGGGAGGGGCGCTGGCTCTCATCCTGGCCTCATGACCTCAGATAAACTTTTCCCCTTTCTAGTTTCTTAGTATGAGAATGAAGAGAATTACCCCAATCTCTATGAGGATGCTAAATACCTTGGAGTCTGGTTATCTTAATCTTCGAGCTCCTTGAAGGTAGATACAGGATCAGAAAGGATCCAACCATCCGGGGACCAAGGGGCCTCCACCCCTAGAGATGATTACATTCAAGTTGGAAAGGGTCCAGAGTCCTCTTCTATTTGCAAATATAGAAAGAAAGTGGGGCTGGCCAGAGACCACTGGGCTCCCCAACCATCGATTTAATTGTTGCACAAAAGTGTCCTGAGCACCGGCTGGGCGCAGATGACTGCTATGTGCCCAAGGAAGGCCACGAGGCTCCTGTGGACAAGAGGGGCTTGAACAGGAAGACCTTGCTTCCCACTCCCTCCATCGAACCCCCTGCAAGCAAGCTTCCTGTTTTCAAAGGACAGGGGCAACATTCCAGATCAATCCCACTTGGTTCTAAGGTAGACAGATGGGGGCCTCAGAAGTCCCCTAAAAATGGAGACTGTAATCCCAGTGCCCCCCCACACCCCCCCTTCCAAACCACCAATTCACAAGTACATGAGCACACACACACACACACACACACACACACGCACACACAGCCATCTTTGGCTTCATTAATAATTTACCTTTGTAGAACCCTGTACAGTTTACAAATATTAAAGCATTATCTCATTGTTTTAATCACAACAGCCACTTCGGGGTAGCCTCATTCTTCCTGATAATGAAGTTAGGCCCGAGATAAGACCCGAGCAGGGTCAAACGGCTGGCAGATGGTTCTTAACCTTTGGGGGCTAGCACAGACCCCTTGAGGAACCCTCCCCTCCGAAAAATGCATACCTTCTCAAAATTCTGCCCACACTTTCAGGGCTTTGCCCCTCCCCACTCCCAGTCCTCCGAGGGCTGTCTTGGGATTAACCTTCCTCCTCCTCCTCCTCCAGCAGTGGGAGGCCAGTCTAAAGTTTTGGCCTGGTGGGACTGAGGTAGATAGAACGGGCAGTCCCTGGCTGAAACCAAGAAAGGCATCTGTGATAAGAAATCTCCCAGGCCAGGATGGGCACGGAAGGGTTAAGGGGGTGCAGGGTTTTGTTTTTCACCTCTGAGGACTCTGTTCTGGGTCATTAAGAACACGCAAGGCCCAGTGAGCAGGCGGATGGCTGGGCCGGCCTCCCCTTCCCGGCCAGATAAGCCCCGTGCAGGAGGGCAATCCAGCTTCCCAGAGAGGCAGATGGGAAATCGCCCCAGATAAGGGCTGTTGCTCACAAGGCCTCTCTGCTGCAGGAGCCGCGCAACCGAGAGGCTGCATTTCTTGCCGGCTGCGGAGGGGGAAGCCTTTCTGCGGAGTCCCCTGCACACCGCTGTCCGAGGCCGCTCTGGACGAATCCTCCCGCGGGATGCAGCCTGGTGCCAGGCAAAAGCGGGGCTGCCTCCAGGTGGTGGAGGGCGGTTTGGGGGTGGGGGTGGCCTCCAGCGACGCCCGGGCCGCCTCCCGCCGGGTAAGCCCACGTAGAGCTTACCGCGCCCCCCCCCACCACAACACATCGGGACCTTCCTGCACCCCCGCCCCCTACCCACCACCCAGGTGGTACCTGTGCCCGTGCAGGTGAGGAGAAAGGCCTGTGGAAAACACCATTACTGATAAGTAACAGCCCCTTTCAGGTTTAATGACACGTTGCATCCATCCTAAAGCTCTAAAAAAAAAAA